ATCTGTTGTGGCTCCCCCCGTTGCTGGCCAAGAGCTGTCGCCTCTCCTCCTGCTCTGGCTCCTCGGCAGCCAAGGGCCTCTCCGGCAACCCCCGTCTCCGTCAGCCCTGCCTGAGGGCAGGCACCCAGGGGGCTCTCGGACGGGACCCTCCGTCGGAGGGGGCTCGGCCTGGCAGTGGGGAGGAACGCGCTGGAAGGGGGACAGCCGTGTTTAAATAGCGCAGCCTCCTGCAGGGCAGGAGGCCGCGCAGGCCCGCGGGGAGGGTGGGCGGCTCGGGCGCTCTGCCCTACTTCGGAGCTCTGCCGGCACCGCTCTGGCCCTGTCCTCACGCCACCTCTACTAGAGAAAACGCTGCTGCTTGTCCTGCCGGGAGGCTGCCATCGCCGCCTCCTGCAGCAGCGGGGGTGAGGATGGGGGGCTGGTGCTTCCCCTGCCCTTTTTGGGGTTAGCTGGTACCTGGAAACTTCTGCTCCTGGGTTGTTTCCCTCCCCAAAGCCTTCCCCAGCTCCAGCAGGGACTGGCTTTCTCCCTCCCTGCCAGTCTGGGACCACGCTGCCCAGCCAGCGCTGGGGACGATTGATCCCGGCATCTCCTCATCAGCGTCTGCTGTGGAGGTGGGGGCGAGCAGGGTGTGGGATGGCGGGGTGCCTGTCCCAGCTCCCGGCAGCCCAAGTCTTCCCTGCCGCCTCTCCTAATTGCACACGCTGATTAAATCCATCAGGAGAGCTGCAAAACCTCATCTTTCTTCCTTGCCGCCTGTGGGACGTGGTTCCTGGTGGGGACAGCACCCGTGGGAGCTCCGAGAGCATCTGCCCCTGCTCCGGAGCGCTGTAAACCTGCTGGGGGGCTGAGGGTGTCCCCCAGATCAGCACTTGCAGCAGCTGGGGAGCTTGGGTGGGCCCCCCTGGAGAGCAGCTAGCACCGGGGATGGGGTTTGGCCCCAGCCTGTGCCCCTTTCCAGGGCCGCCCCCGCAGCAGAGACCCCCGGTAGCTGCAGGGGCGAGAGCCTTCCCACGGCCCTCCCTCCCCTGCCCAGCACCTTGCTGGGGGGACTGGGCACCCCCAAAGTTGCTGGGGGGGGAAGGTGCTGGTGGCTGGGGCTTGCCCTGGGTGATGTGGGATTAGGCAGGGGGGCGGCTGAGGGCAGCCCTTCCATTGCCAACATGGCTGGCATTTTCCCGGGGGTCCCCCGGGCCCACGCCCCCCCGCGCC